TATAATTCAGCAATATCATCACGTCATACAGCCACCGGCGCAATACCACCAAGAAAAAAACTATTTGTGAATCGAAATGCACGATTACACGATTTAGAAAATCGTTATAAACAACAAACCTTAACACTAGAAGAATATCTTGAAAAAGTGATGCGATTAATTGGTATCAAAAAAGTTTGATTTTTGTTTTTATTATCACTTGTTTTGTTTCGTTCTCCAATAATGTATTTTTCAAAACAATAATTTAAATTCAGCATTCTTTTTAATTAGTCTGTTTATAAAAACTTTATTAATTAGAATAATCTATATTCTACTTCAAGTTTTATTTTTTCGACGGAACAGGAACAGCTAAAGCTTTATTTTCGACGAAACAGGAACACTAAAAAAAAACTCTACAAATTTTTTCGACGAAACAGGAAAATTAATTAAGCTTTCGACGAAACCGGAATTCACCATATTTACCTAAAGTGCTAATCAGCATACCATATATATGTTGATAAGTAAGTAAAACAAGAACAAATATGTTGGACACAACTCTGTCATTTATATTTACATAATTTTTTGCTCTTACTTCTTCAACGTCTGTATCCACTAGATAAACTTGTTTATTCAGTGACATATTTGATTCTTTCCGATTCTTTCTGTGGTAAACAGCTGAAAAGAAGCTGCTCAGTGTTTATACTTATGAAAAGGTTTCACAATATGCACAGACTAAACAGCTTTATTAAATATGAAATCTATGCTAGTACAAAATGTTCTTTGCTGTTTTTGAACTTTTCTATACTAATTCAATGACTCAACGACCAAACACTACTTTGATTGTGAATTTTCAGAATGTACTTCTAAGCGTTTTCGTACAAAATAGGGTTTTTGAAACAATCTTTCTAAAACAATTTTGGATTCTCAAAGTACAATAACTCAATTATCTAGGCAATATGAATAACTCAAAGGCGGTAAAAGATAGAGACTTGCGGTTTTCGGCAGTCGAAAGAAGTGCCTCTCGGGCAAAAATTTCGAGGAGAACGTTTTGTTTGCCTTCAAACTCAAACTTACGTGAAAATTATTTCTCGACATGCCCGATCCGGATATCGCAGTCTTGCGGCTGGAATCCTTGCGGATAAAACATGTGGGAATTTTTCATATGAGGTAAAATATATCCGCTATAGCGGATCAAATGCCGACAATTTTCTAATGTTGAACGTGAACGCTAAAGCATGTTCGCGTTCCTTGAGTGTGAACGCTAAAGCACGTTCGCGTTTTTTGAACGTGATCGCTAAAGCACTGGTGGACGTGAGCTTTTTCTATACGAACGGTGTTCATATCGTCTGAAGTAAATATAAACTTCTGTTCTCGTACTATAGTAAGCACATATATATTTTTGCTTAATCTTCTCTGATCAACAGAAATTCTAGTCGATAGTCTGCTGAGGGCAGTGACGAAATTATTGCAATGTAAAAAGGATACCCCTTGATTCCCTGACCAAGACATTGATCCTTCCTAGAACAAATCGCGAATTTCCTGGCTAGAAGATTGGTTTTCTCGGCAATGGAACCGAAGTTCCTTGGTCTAAACCATGTACTGAAAACAAAGATTGAGCTTTCGTTACTAGGATATAAAATAAGAAAAAAAGAAAAGAAAAAATGATTCATTAGTTTTTTAAGAATAATTTAAAATAAAAGGTTCTTTTGTTTTATTAATAGCTCCCTACCTCAGTTTTGTTACAGTTGGTGAAGATGCCGAGTACCCAAAAAACGTTTTTTATTAAGTGAGGAATACTTATTCGTAACAAACCCAAAAAAGTTCGAAACAAAGAACATTTTGTACTAGCATAGATTTCATATTTAATAAAGCTGTTTAGTCTGTGCATATTGTGAA